GCTCTCTTGCCGACAATTGCAACCACCAAAGGCTCGCAGATCATCGTCACTACCAAATCAGCAATGGCCAGACTGAGTAGAAGAAAGTTGGAGCTGCGACGAAGACGAGGGCTCGTGAGCACCGCAATACAGACCATAATGTTTCCACAGGTTCCTACCACAGCTGCTACAGAGTTAACTATCATAAGAACCACGCCATGCGTCTGTGGAAGGACACAATCGTCTGTGGAGTCACTTGAAGTATTCGCGTTGTATTCCAATGAAATATTCTGTATATTCATTATTGATTGATTCTGGAAACAACGCAAAACTGATGTGTAAACTTGCGCTGTTCACTTCGTCCAGAGCCAAGCAATTATGACGTGATTTACAATAGCTTGTGTGAACTACTGATATTGTCAAGATATCTTAACTTGATATTTACACGACAAGGGAATAACAGATATGGTAGCTTCAGATATTTCAGTTTTATATTCGATATATAATCATGAGTGGACCGTGACGTAAGCACTGATTTGTATTTCAAGAAAGGCGGAATTCATTGTTTGTATCACGTGTGATCTTTTCATTTTGGGCTAATCTGAACCTGTACTATTCCGATGCTGCCAAGAGAGACTTATGATAACGATGGAGCAATCGAGTCTCTAAGACGAGAAGATAAACTAGGACAAATCAAGAAATTTGAAGTGCCCACCATTTCAATTGTAGTTTCCTGTGCTGTTCTATCAAATGACTCTGAAGTTCCGAGAGAGAATCAAGCCGAGCAGTTTTGTATTTGATTTTCGCCTCGCGACTGGATGGTCATGGGTCACCAGAGAACCTGATGTTACTGCGCTACATACATGTAGAATTCAGAACTGAAGAATGTTCATATCAAAAGCTTTGCAGAGGGGATATGTCGGTTCAGTGACCTTTGTAAGATGTGATGATATTAATCAGCCAAATATATAGTGATATATACGTTTTTTTATGGCATTCTGATCATAGCTGAACCCTTTAATCCCTACCAGTGACTAGCATCTAATTTCTCTTTACATTATCACTCCTGAAACACACGTTTAGGTCATCAGAATAAACGAAATGATCACCAACTTAAGACGCTCTTGATTGTTAAACAAATTCTCCTTGTCAGCACCTTACAAAATGTATAGAGAACAGTATGGAGAATATGCATACTGATGTTAGGATGAAGTGGGTTAAGTACAGACATTATGAAGAGTGGTAGGTAGGTTCTTTTCAGTTAAAGTGAGTTTTTCCTTCTGATTGAGACATTTCTTGTTTTGAGTTATAATTTCTTAGTTCATTTTACAGGAAATGTTTTTCTGGCTATCTTTGCCTTTACGATTTTGTTATTATTTGTTTGCCTATTTGTCACCCTAAAGTCTCTTTTTAAATGATAAATATCGGGAATCAGAGATTTTCCACCTTGGAACTAATCGAAGGGAACTATTCCATTTTGGTTCAAAATATCTATTTTTTTTTTCAAACGTTATCTTTGAATATGTCTTGGTGTAAAAGTAATTGAAACCACCTTGGTTTCTCGAAACTGATTTTGTTAAATAATTTTTTCCGAGAGGAAATCCCTCTAGCGCTCAAAGGCCCCTATTTTAAAAGCGCCGATCATCAAATGGCACAAATTGAATTACTCGTGTTTTCTCAAAAATCATGTTGAAGAATTTTCTTTGCTAGCTTCCCACAGTTAGATCGATCCTTTGTACGAACAGCTTGCATACCTATGTCTTTTTAACGTTTTTTTACACCGAAAATTCTTTTTTTTTAGTTTGACAGTTTTTAGTGGTGGATGTCCTCCCCTGGGTGAGATGGGTGGGTGTTGGCCCAGAAAAGCCCCTATGGGGAGTGGTCAATTAACCTATGTATGTATGTAATTTGGTGTTCAATCAAGGGAACAACTTCCACCTGATACGTGTGAGTATTCTCATTACCTGTTTGCTGGATACTGTATGGATATTATGGGGAGAAGTTACAGGTTAATCACTTCTGGTAGTTAAAAGGTTAAATACAGGTGTAGACCTGAGATTAACTTTCGTCATCGATTTACTTCCGCTTTAGCAAATTGGGTTGATTTTGACCTCTAATATTGACCGATGTCCCTAGATTTTCAATATGAATCAGCATTATGTCCTACGTTGACTTTTCTTATGTGTGTTCTAAAGGAAATGTTTCTTACTGAACCAGTGTCTAGATTTCTCAAGGCCCTGAATGTCTGTTGTCTGTTTATTCCGATGTTTCTAGATTTTCAAGATGAATCAGCATTATTTCCCACGGTGACTTTTCTTATGTGTGTTCTAAAGGAAATAAATATTTCTTATAAGTAGTGTCTCTTGATCTCTCAAGGCCCTGAATGTCTGTTGTCTGTTTATCTCGAAATTCGCTGAATGTTCTCACAAGGTTTGCACATTACATCCTCTTGATTAGTTGCGCGCCACTAATTTTTCTTATGCTTTTGCCGATCTTGCCTCATAAGTTAAAGATTTACTACTAAATGTACATTTAGTTTGTTTACCCCGCCATGATACTCTTAAAAACGACTGAATTGTTATGCGCGGCGAAGAGTCTTCCGGCATATCACAGCATAAGCATCCCGAAAGTCACGAATCCTTGCACTATAGATGATGAAATTCATGGCTGAATTTGAAAGTGCCAAGGATCGGATCCACATGTAAGCGGTGCCATACATCTTAACAAGGGATTTACCAGCAGCAAAGAACACAACAATCATCGGAAGCCAACACAAAGTAAAGATAGCTATTACCATTCCCAATGTAAACGCCACGCGACGCTCGATTTTTGAATTGACAACTACCGTGGGTTGTGCCCTGAGCTCATTCTTTCTTCGCTTTTCTTTCACTAGAAAAGTCACGATGGTCGCGTAGCAGATTATGATCAAGCCATAGCCTCCCACAAACATCACGAACACGACGTAAGAAGTCTCCTTGAGAAAGGGAATGCGGCATGAAGCGAAAACGATAGGTAGGGCCCAGGCAACTCCCAACATAGTCTTCAAACCGTAGCTCCTCATGATCCGTCCGTGGCGAAGAGGGTAGACAACGGCAAGGAAACGGTCCACGCTGATGGCTGCGAGATGCATAACTGATGCAGAACACGAGAGGTTGGAGCCAACAACGTAGGCAAGCTCCAGGCTGGATGCACAGTCATGGAGAAACGCTCTCTTGCCGACAATTCCAACCACCAAAGGTTCGCAGATCATCGTCACTACCAAATCAGCAATGGCCAGACTGAGCAGAAGAAAGTTGGAGCTGCGACGAAGACGAGGGCTCGTGAGCACCGCAATACAGACCATAATGTTTCCACAGGTTCCTACCACAGCTGCTACAGAGTTAACTATCATAAGGATTACGCCATGCGCCTGTGGAAGGACACAATCGTCTGTGGAATCACTTGAAGTATTCGCGTTGTATTCCAATGAACTATTCTGTATATTCATTATTGGTTGATTCTGGAAACAAAGCAAAGCTGATGTGAAAATTTGTGCCGTTTACTTCCTCAAGAGCCAAACAATTATTGCGTGATTTCCAATAGCTTGTGGGAACTACTGATGTTGTCGAGATATCTTAACTTGTTCTTTGCGTGACAACAAGGGATAACTGATATAGCAGCTTCAGGAATATCAGTTTTGAATTCGATGTATGATCACTCTAGACTTGGACAGTGACGTTAACATTGATTTATTTCAAGAAAGGCGGAAATTTATTGTTTTGTTCGTAACTCGCCTCCTAGAACTGAATCACGTGTGACCTTTTCATTTTGGGCCAGTCTGAACCTTCATTTTTCCGATATTGCTGAGAGTGACTAATGATGATGATGGAACAATCGAGTCTTAAAGACAAGAGAGAATAAACCAAGACAAATCAAGAAATTTGAAGTGCCTACCATTTCAGTTGTTCCATCAAATAATTCTGGAGTTCCCTGAGAGAATCAAGCTGCCACATAACTGAAAGGTCATGGGCCACCAAAAACGTGATGCTACTATCGTAAGCCTCCTATAGACAACATTACCATTATTGAATACAGTTCAAGTGAATGAGCATTCACGATAAGAGCGGAAACCCCCTCTCTCATCGGCGCCCTTCTGCTTCAAAATGCAAAGACACTTCAAGGAATAATCCATTCCAACGGGCCAGCGCTTGAAACGTCAGCTTAAGAAAATCTTTACGGTGGCCAATTTCGCCTCTAATTTAAGGGTCGGCTCCTATATCAACATAGTTCAAGAGTGGTCGTTCTTGGTTGCGAAATTCATTCGTTGGTGCGAACTCTGAAAAAGAAAAAAAAAAATTGGTTGTTGTTTCACTTTAAATCTGGTTAAAGCTGTGGTTTTCTTTATCGATTGGTTTCTAAATGGTATTTTCATAAATCTACCGTCATCGATTAAGCTGAAATGGTCCTCCCGTGACAAGGTAATATCACATACTGTCCTATGTTTTCTTTCAAGGTGTTATAAAAGTGCCCCAACCAGACTGCAAATAAGGAGTTGAACTTTTCTCAGGCTAACGACTTTAAGGAGGGTCTATGAAAGCCGCGTATAGCCGACTGTGTGCTTAACTAGAGACCCTGCTACTCTCGTTGCTTGCTTTTCAAAGGGTGAGTACCAGTGGCTAATTCTCGAGACATATGTCTAATACATCTGCAAAGCTGTTGTTTCAGTTTCAGCCATTTTCCATGACTTGATTTCCAGAATTAAACCCGAATTTTAAATCAGAAAGTGAATTTTTGCCCCTACAACTCCCCGCTGTTCGTCCCCTATACAACTGAAAGGCCTTTGCCGCGTTTTTCGGCTCGGAAGCGAGAAAAATACACAAAATGGTTGAATTCCCTCGTCGCTCACGAAAACTGAATAGCTGCGGCTGATACCTTCCCTCTCTTACACTGAACTTAAGGAAATTAAAAAAACAAAAAGCGAGAAAAATGTGTTTGGTGTCAGGAAGTATTCACAAATATTTTCTTCAACACGAGTTCGTAGCTTACAGACTTCCCGTGCAACCAAGATGATAAAAACATTTGAATGTTTTAAGTATGAGCTTATATGAAAAACGCAAACGCTGTACGACTGGTCGGCCTGCAATGCCAAACCTGCGTTTGAAAATAGGGAATGAACTGATTGAAGCGATATAAGTACTGCGAAGTTAGAGAACTTTCAAATGCCCACTTCCTGAAACGGGATTCAAACACTTTCTTATTGAAGCTAAGGCATCAATACACTGTGATGTAAGGTTTTATCACTGTATCTTATGTGGATGGCTTTTCCAGCAACTGAACTAAATATGACCACTGGGTACCTGGCGCCAGCATAAATATATCTTATTCACCAAGCGCGAGGGCCGTACTGGGAGAATATCGGCCCGAGGTCTTGACAGTACGGACCGAGCGAAGCGAGTTCCGTACAAAAAAGACCGAGGGCCGATATTCTTCCAGTACGGTCCCGAGCAAGCTTGGTTAATAAGAGATTTATTATACGACTGAAGTTCAAAGGGACACAAGTGCGGTATCATTCGGGACCATTCGGGACAGTGCCCGGTCCAATACTGAGAGAATATTGACTGGCAATAGAGCATTTTGATTGGTTGATTTTAGTTATTGGCCCTCTGACTGCCCGAGTCGTGTAATAAGGCTTGTTATTGCATCCTACGAGAATAAGCCATCATTAAGGAAATGTTGAAAACTGGCAAAAGCTGCACAACAGACGTTTTTTTTTTATTTGTTTCATTTTATTTTATCTCTACTCTTCTGTACACCGTTTCTTTGCATTTGCAAAGACCACTTTGTAGTAGAATTACGGTTCTTCTGCGAGCAACCGGATTGCTTTGATAAGTTTTAATGCTTCGAATAGCAAAACTGAGGCCGGATGGATAAAGTGCTTCAAGGTTTTTTGATGTGTTCAGATGTAAGTTAAGGCTGACTAACTGCATTCTTTACATTAATCAGTTTCGAAGTTCAATCAATGAATCGAAAGTGGGAAAATATTTGCACGTAATTCATAAACTTGAATCATAAACGCTATTAATACACGTTGATCATTTGAAGAGGCCTTTTGTCTGTCACTGTACGATACAACATGATGGTAGAAGCGAGCTCTACCATACAATAGGCCTGTTATGGGTCTGCTAACAAAAGGAGAAATAAACTGTAGTGCTGCGTCGGTGGGAGTGACAAGGTAATTTTAGTTTTGTTAAGTGAATTGTCAATGTAAATTGGCCACCGTTAAGAGCGGTTTCAAAGCTGACTTTCGTGCGTTGGCCCGCTGTCGGAGCGAAAGACGAAAATTGACGAAAACCTTGTTATGAGTCTGCAACTGAACATTTTGCGGGATATCGCGATATAGGCATCGCGGAACTCACGAGTTCTTGCGTTGTAAATAACAAAGTTCATAGCAGAGTTGGAGAGAGCCAAAGATCTAATCCACATGAATGCCGGACCATACATTTTCACCAGAGGTTTTCCTGTGGTGTAGAAAACAATAATCAACGGAAACCAGGTGATGGAAAACATAATGATCACAATTGCCAGTGTTCCTGCAATACGCCGTTCGATTTTGAAATTAATATCAACGGATGATTGCGCTCTCAGATGGCTATTTCGTTTCCTTACCCTGACCAAAGTAAGCAAGATAAACGAGTAACACACAGACTTGATGGAATAACCACAAGCAAACATCACTACAGTTAAATAATGGGTTTTGTCCGGGAAGAGGTGTCGAATGGCAGCGTATGCAAAAGCGACGATCCAAACTACCGTCAACATGATTTTTAAGCCGTAGTTCATCATGATCCGACGGTGACGTAGGGGGATGATGACAGCTAAGACGCGGTCTGTACTGATTGCCACAAGATGCATAAGCGACGACGAACAGGAGAGGTTCGCTGTGAGCGAGTAGGCGCGTTCAAGAACAGGCGTACACTCGTGTTGAAGGGTTCTTTTGCCGACTATTGCCACGACCAAAGGCTCACAGGTCATTGTCACGATCAAGTCTGCAATGGCCAAACTAAGCAATGGTATATTCGAGCCACGGCGAAGACGAGGGTTGGTGAGTATTGCTATGCAAACAAGGAAATTACCAAACGTACCAAACAGGGCAATCAGAATGTCAACTACCATTAAAGCAATGCCATGGGATAGGGGCAGGAAACAGTCTTCACCGCTAAAGATTGATGAATGAGCTTTGATCGCCGAAGATTTGTTCATAGTCTTGCCTGAAAGAGGAATTGGTCTTCGAGTTACCTCCACAGGTGAAAAAAAGTCATGGCTCGAGCCTACAATGCTCACTGGTTCATTGGATAGCAACCGTAATTGCCTGAAACTAATTAATGTTTCGAAACTAAGAACTGAATAAATTCTAAAGGCTGATAGTTTCGAAAGAAACTGTTTGGGGCTGCGTCGGTGTAATCATTACGGTGGCCAATTTACCATTTCAACTTTGTTGATATATCCAAATTATGAATAAATTCTAGCCAGTTCTTCATTGTTTACAACATCCGTGTTTCCACTAAAAAATTCAACTGCCTTTTTTAAATCATTGGCCGTCTCCCCTTCACCTCTTTCTGTTTCTGTGAGTTGCTTATATGTAAACAAATGATTTGAGGTGTTAGCTGGTAAACGAGCACAAGCCCCTATGGGGTTTGTGCAACTTTGAGCAATGCTTATTTCCTCCAAATTGCTCGAGAAATTGTTTGAATAGTGTTAATCTTCCAATTAAAAATTTCTACACTCCTATTTATTCACTCAGTCATAGGTAAGTGGACTGTTCAAGATTAGCTAAAGTTCTTCCATTAAAGAAGATGATTTGATAAAATAATGTTATAAAATCAGCTAAAGAAAACGTGTGAAAAAAAAAAAAGAAAAACAACTGAAAAACGATGACATTTCCGCAGCCATTTGGCAAACGTTCAAAATCCGGTCTTTCCACTCAGTATGTTTTTGATACTAGAATGAGCACACCTCGAAGTCCTTTAGTTTGAATTAGTTTCGTATCCTGAAGCGTTTTGCAGGAACTCAAAACTACGTCGTGGACCACCCGTTGTACTTTGCATAAATTCCCCATTTCCAGTATATCCCAACCAAAGAAACGTTTTTCACCCATTAGTCAAGATTCGTACCTTCAAACTGAGAATACACCAAAACAAAACCAAAAACAAGGGCGGTATGAAGATAATACACCTATATACCTTTTTATTGTAAATTTGTAATTGGTTTAAATAAGCGTCCGATAGTTTAAATTAAATTTTGTTTGTGCACTTTGTGTTTCACGCAAAAAAGTCATTCAGTCCTATAGCGCGTGCCTATTCGATTCCATAAACAAACGCTTTATCCTCGAACAATGTCCTCCACCATCTCTTTGTTCGACTATGCAGCCTCCCCTTCTTCCGAAGATAGATGTGCATTGGGGTCTGAGTCCGAGTCAAACATACCACCTTTCTGACGAACTGTGTCCTTCATTCGCCTGTTGTCAGCGGCTGCCGTCTTCCAAACTAAGTCTAGTTCTTTGTCAACGTTTCTGTGGTACAAATGAAACTAATAAGTACTTAAGTGTCAACCGAGAATATGAACTGCTATTGAATCACACGACATAAACAGCATCTGCAGAAAGGCTTGACCAGACTGCGCAAGAATCCTAGATCTAACCTGTTATCTCCGATCATTAATTCCAACTGGCGTTGTTTTTGTCTGACCATTGCGCGAAGATTGTTAATTTCCCCCTCGTACTGCTCTTTGAGTTTGTTGATTTCGTTTTCTTTCTCTCGCAGCCTGTTTTGATTTAGATAGACATCAAAAGGTTGTACGTTTTAACTGTTCTTTTCTTCGCATCAGCGCCTACCTATTTGTATTGTTTGTCTGTCTTTCTCTTTTTGCCGGTTCTCACCAGAAATGCTTCTCAGCTGTGCGACAGAACTTCATAAAAACAACACAATGAAAAAGAAGAGAAATTTCATATTATTTTGCCCGGGAGCTTTGCCCGTAAGCCTCTACTTCGAGAACTAGTCTTAATCTTTTTTAAATCAGGTCGAAACAAATCACATGCGAGAAATTTTCCATTTGAAGAACTAAATAACCTGTCACGTACCTTCCCGTAACTATGGCGACTTTATCCGTGGCCTTTTTCCTGCACTCCTAAAACCAGTAAAAGAAAACCTTATCCCACTATAACAGGAGTAGATTGCAAGGGGTGCAGTGTTGTCTTCACAAAGATTATTGCTTAAGTAACCACTTTAAAGTATCCTTCCTGTAGCAAGTTGTAGGATGTTTCGTCAGTTGTTTTGTTCCCTACCTGGAGTTTTTCCTCGAGTCCTTTGATATTCTGAGTTCCAGCGAGAATTTTAGAAGCAGCTTTCTGCTGTTCCACTTTCTGTGTCTTGGCCTGCGATGGATTGATCCAATTAATAGAATAGCAACATCGCAGTATTTTAAAGAATGTTTAAAAACGTACATGTACACGGAAAGCACAGCAGTAAACTTACAAATTGTACGTAGTTGTCCCTCTCCGCGGCCGTTTTCTCCGCCTAAGGAAATCAAAACTTTGTGAAATTTACTGAAAGCAAGAAGTCTGGCCCGCGTAGTACTCTTTTCCTTTTTTCTTCAGCCAGGCTGAAGGCCCTTCCCTCCCTCCTCCATACCCCTCCTTCAGTGAAATTTTTTGCTCCCCTGTGCACCTTTGCCTCTGGATGCGCCACTTGTGCTCGCTCATGCTTTTCTTGCTTCAAAGAAAAGTAGCAAACGATGCAAAGAAACCCTTTACAGATGATAATGATCTGCCGTGGTACACATCTCAGAATATATGAATATGTATTAATCAAGAACAAAAACTGAAGAAATTAAGGTGCTCAAGCTCGGACCAGAGGCGTCTCGCTACAGATCGACAAAAAAATTGGCAGGAGCCTCACAATCCTGTGACACGCCACACTTACAATGGTTAGCACTTGTGAGAGAGTCTCACAATCCTGTGACACGCCACACTTACAATGGTTAGCACTTGTGAGAGAGTCTCCTGGGCTGTCAGCTCTCGTTCCTGAATGTGCTCTAACTTTCTTTGAAGAAACAGAAACTTGCGCTCTGATTTCCTATAGATGCAAAAAGACGACAGTTCTCAGCTTTCCGGCTAAAGGAAAATGAATCATCAATCGCCAAATCAGAACTGTTTTACGCAGAGCAACAGCCACACGAAATCGAGCTATTTTCGCGTGTACTGTTTGCGCTAAGCTACTATCGTACAGTGATTTCTTATGTCAATCAGTCGTCTTAAAAAGTGGAGGCAGCTCACCCAGGCAGGCTAGAGGCACGCAGTGTGATGGGTAGGGAGAAAGCAAAAGAGGAAAACGACGTCTTCTTCTCCATTTCCTTGCCATCACCTCTTTCTTCCCCACGTTAGTGCCGCACGCCTTTTGGAGACGGCTGGGGACGAGTCACTTACCAGACATTTTGGACACATTTTCCCAGCGGAATGAAGGACGCCTATCACAATTGAACCTAATAATAGGCTAGTTCTCCATCGATTTCTCTGGTGCTAAGTTGGAAGAGCATTAGGGCAAGAAATCAGAAAGTTTGAGGTTTGGAATCCTCTCTGGACATTCAGATTGGTCGTTATCCTATGCTGGTGACAAATCTCTATCAACTTCTTTAAATCAAACTTGCACTCACTTTAGAGACTTTTAGTAAGCATCAAGTTCTCGCTCAAGTTGAGCGCTCTTAGCTTCGGCATCTGCAATTCAACATTGAACAGTTTTAAATTTAAACATACAAATTAGACACTAAGGCGAAGGAAAGGATGAGGCAACAGCGTGGAGAGCGTGAACGGCGAGTCACGGGAGTCACGCGCCTCTTCTTGCGCGTGTGGCAAGCTTGCGCGCGTGACAAACCTACGTGAAAAGATGGCGCTTGTCCCGTCAGCTACAATGCACATGACGTATTTTATATCGTTTTTAAAAATGGATCAAGAACACAACAAATACCTGCAAATTTTATAGCTAAGTTACTCTTTTCTTTCTGGACTGCCTACATTTTTACATAAAAAAAAGGAAACATACATTAGTAAACTTTCAACAATGGCTTTCACAGCAAAAGTACGGCAGTAAATAAAAGGTGTTAAGCGTAGTGAGGTAAAACTGAGGAAATATTCGTAAGCTATCGTTGTTTTGCATCAAAGCGGTCTTCAACTGAAAAGAGAGTAATTAAGAAAGCAAACTTGTCAGGTTTGTTTAGAGTAATTTTCTACAGTGTCGAAAGTGATGCTAGATTGCGCCAGTGTTGCTTCACTAAGCTTTGTGATTGGTCGAGGAAGTTCGCACCGCCCTCCAGACCAATCAGATGCAAAGCTGAACTCAATAACGACGCGTTTTTCCGCGCTTTAGGCAGTTGGCTTGTTTTCACTGAGAGTTCTTATTGGGTCTTGGTAAAACCGTAAATATTTCGCCTAGTTTTGATTGTCCGATGTGATTACGTTGGTTTTGGTAAAAACAACATTCACTTGAATAGTGCTCTATTATTCCTTATAAAAGGTTTAAAAAGGATAAAAAAAACCGTGCAAACTTACTTTCTGACCAAACTACGAGTATCCTGTGATTTATGACGAAAAACTGTGACGATTTGTTAGTTTCTGCTGCTGTTAAACGAAAACTCACTTCTCTGATTCTCTTTTCTATCTTGTAGCCAATCTGCTATTTAACAATCATTCCACAAGCGCGCGTTGGATATGAGATGATAGATAGCCAACGAGGCGCGTAGCGCCGAGTTGGCTATAATCATCTCATATCCAACAAGCGCGAGTGGAATAATTGTTTTATTAAAAACGTTAAATTAAATTATTAAATTTTATTAAATTTTTAGCTCTCTTTTAATTTTAAGCTGACACGTACGCTTACCATATTTGTAGATTATGGTATATTGGCTGATATACCATAATGGCTAAGCCAATAAAAAGTCTTGAATTGCATTATCCAATGATCTAGTTTTTAATAAAAACGTTTATCCACTAGGAGGTCGTAAATCAAAATCCCAACCTAAAGGCTAACAAAGTTTATTTCTTACCTGCAACTTCGAATTGTATTCCTCTGTCTCTGATTTTGTTTTCGCTTTCAAGTCTTCAAGTACACTAGACAAAAGCAAGAAAATCACAAAATACACAAAACGCGCTCAAACTTGGTTGGTGAGCAGTGGAAGCGGTGAAGATGAACGTGTCTTCTCGTTCGTGTATGCCTCCTTCGAGCAATCGCAATAACGTATATGGGCGATGTCACATTAGGTAAATTGAGAACATTGTGGCCTTCTAAGCATACCATACAGAGAAAACTGCACAATGGCCTATACTAACACCAGAGACAAGAACAGCCAACACTGCTGGGGCTTATACCGGTTTTTTAACCAAATAGTCACTAAGTACAGTGGTAAAAGCTGTTTCTGGAAATCGCGCTCTTATAATTTTTAGCGATAGATGCAAGAATTGTGATCACATCTGGCTGAACATTTAATTCTACACATTTCCAGTCAAAATGATGGAGGTTTTCGTCGTTTCTTTTTCCACCACATGAAAGATGTGCTGGTAAACTCTTACCTCTTGCATTCATCCATTATCCTGAGGTGTTCTTGAATCAACATCTTGTTTTCCTGATCGGCCACCATAGCCTCGTGTTGACGCACTAGGTTGCTGTGGATACGACGCATGTCATCTAGCTCCGTTTCAAGGAGCCGCTGGGTTGACTCTTGACTTGAAATCCGTTTGGACAACTTGGAAACTAACAAGAAAATAGCGACAATAACTACCAATCAAAAACAGACGGAAAAGAAATATACAAAACACTCTAATCGATGAAGTTAAAACTGTCAAATCAGCGGGACATAACATCGTTACACTACACGTGCCTGTGCCACCGGAATAACCTGAAGTTTGAACCTCAAATACGGAAACAATTGTAACATTACCATGCAGGAAAAGAATCATTGTCTTGTGTTTTTCAGTCTCTGTCGCTCACGCGCGAAACTCGACTTTTACTCGCGAGAGAAACAAAAATATATCGTTTGTAACCTTTCGCGAACCAGGGAATTTGAGCATGCGCCTTTAGTGTGATATAGGAGAAGGGTGTAAAAGGTAGCGCTATCTACCTTCCTGTCCGTGGATTCGCTGCATTTCCTTCATCTTTTTGTCTTGTATTTCCTGTTGTTCCATCAACAGAGCGTTTTCCTCCACAACTAGCTTTGCCTGTTCCTGCAATTGTTGCCTGCAAGAAAATAGAGTCACTCCCCGCTAAGTCAATCAGTCTCAGCTGTGTTACAGATCTAACAGAGCACCGTGCCTTTGCAATCGAATGTCACAAAACCAGAGCCAAAGTAATCGCAACGGCCAGTAAAAACAAAAATTATCACGGGGAAAACTCAAAGTAGACGCATCGATACAGTGTTAAGAGCAAGAAAAACGCGAGTAATCAAGGTGCGACTGGATTTGGTTCTGCATCTGATTGGTTTAAACACTGATGTGAGCTTTCTACATTGTAGACCAATAACCGGTCAAAGTGAAGTAAAACCAATGCAGTCAATTTAAAATTGGTTAAAAAAATTCCGGAAAAACTTTCCACATCACAGCACCAAAAATACCAACGGTGCTATCAACACTAACAGTTCTGTTTACGATACACAAAACAGAAGAACAAATTTACAGAACATCAACCAAAACACAGCAGTTTCACACTGTTTAGACAGCTAAGAAAGGATGAATAAGCGAAAATCCTTCCTTATTAAAACAAAAACTATTGATGCCACTTACCACTCATCCGGTCCCAATGCATCAGGACTGGCTTTGCTAATGCTCTGTCGATGACAAATCAAACAACTTTTGACGAAGCAACAAAAAATTTGGGAGACCAAGTTACAGTAGAGGTCTAGATAAGGATCTAAATCTAACTCAGTTTCCCGAGAGCTCTCTATACACTAACCAAACTAGTATGAGGAATGAAGCGCTGAAAAGAGATCGTCTCAAATATGTCAAATATGACAGTGTTGGGGCGGTTGTGAGAGAATTTATGTGTAGATGGCCACGGCTAAGACAAACTGAACTTACCATGTGAAGCTGCTGATTTTCCTTGACAACTTCCATGACTCGAGCCTTAAAAGAGCTCAACTCTTCCTACAAAGATAAATTGGAGCCAAATTACAATCACATTAAGGTACAAAATCGAAACAAAGCGACTGTTAAATAACAAAGGAAAGAAACAGCTCTGTTGTACGAGAGAATTCCCAATTGACATTTTTGGACCAAGCCCGGATGGTTTTTATCTGGGTCGCGACTTAAATGGGACTGGAACCTATTATTATTTTTTCGTAAATAAGTCAATGAAAAATGATAGTAGGTTCCAGTCCTTAATCGGAAACCTGATTTAGGAGTATCCCTGATTTAGGAACCTCCACTTTCTTTAATCTTATTGAACAGGATGGTGATCATAAACCGAATTTATAATTGATAGTGAAGCTTCAAACGACTCACATCGTAAGTTCTGATCAGTTGTTCTTTTTCTCTTAATCGATCGTCGTACGCCAAGAAAAGCGGCGCCAAGAACTTGGTGTTTACCTGATACGAAAAAAAAAGCAATAACAGCTTACATGAAACGTCCTTTAGTTCATATATTCGTGATCAAATGCCTAACGTGGAACAAAGAACCAAGCAAGCATTTACTTTCCTCTTAGCTCGTGACGGTTCAGTAGGTAGCGGCGCAAATCTAGCTTCTGGGACGCACGTGTTGGAGGTTCGTCGAGTGCTGTAATTTCAGGGATTTTTTGTGCATTTTCTCCAGTTGCATTTCCCCTTTAATGATTTTGAGAAAGGACAATGTACTTACGAACACACTTACTATAATGAAGCTGAGAAAAATCCGAGGGGAATTACTTTGATAAAAAATTTCACAATCCCCTTTTCTCCATGGTACAGTTATTGTTCTACCTACCAGCCAGGGAGCTACCTCCTTCTTGTACGGCAATGCCACGCCTTCTACCTCCTGGAAAGAACAAAGTAACGTGAGTCCCGAAACACAATCACAACTGTCTAAAAATAAAGCCAATATCTTTAAGTTAAGTACATGCTCGTTTACCTCAAACGACACAGGCCGATATTTCGCTTGGTACCTGCTGAGTTCCACGTTGAGCCGATGAACTGCGAGGAGAGCAAAAGCATACATATTTTTTTTAAATTACTGCTCCACAACTAATTGTTCAAGAGTATCCCTGCAGTCAAACTCGTTCCCAGAGCTTTTCCCGCCAAAATTCAAAAAGGGAAAAGCCCTGGGAACGAGGTTGTCCCTGCAGTGTGTAACTTCCATTGATCAGAAAAACAGCACGACGGAAAATGAAGAAGATTAAAGAAGAGGACGTCAGTGTAGGTTCGTAGAAGTCAAAGAGCAAAGAGAAATTACAATTGGCAACAACTTTATCAGACCTGTATCACGTAAAACTTTCTGTTCTTGATGCAAGTCCTTGATTTGCTTTTGCAAAACAACAGATGAGACACCTGAGTAAACAAAAATAAATTTTTTTCACACATGTTGTCCACACATGACATATATGAGACTACAGAATCATATCAAGAGTTAACCCAAAGTTGGACGTGAAACCACTCTGTTAAAGATTCTGACCTGTTCCCTTTTGGAGAGAGAGTGACAGTTGCTTTAAAGCCTTGTTTTCTTCTTGCAAAGACGTGTTCAGCTCCATCATAGCCGACTTCTCTGACTCTAGCAGTTCAATTCGTCCTTTGGACAAGCGGTAAACCTCGTCATCCCTCACGACTTGGACTCTGGTTACTTCTGCGTCAGTCTTGGTTATCACTGGTTCAGATTCAGCACTTCTCATTCTGGTTTTCCTTGATTTTCTTTTACCCTTTTCGTGCACTTTCCTCCCAGATCTCTCGCCGTGGGTTGGGCTGTCGGCGTCTTCGTCTCTCCATCTTCCTTCTGCATCAACGTGGCGTGAGCTGTCCGCCGCACTTCGTTGCTCATTTCTCTTACGTTTTCCCTCTATTTCATCACGATACGACAAATTCGAGCTTTGACTTGCACTCTGAAGCGCATGCCTGACATCGTCAAATTGAGGAGAACCGCCCGAAGCTCGGTGTCTTGTTCTCCCTTTTTTATCGCGGTACGAACTTGCAATATTACCCTGCTCGTTTCTTTTGTCCGGTCTCTTTTCACCGTCACCATGTCCATCTACACTGTTCAATCGTTCCCTTCTTTTACCATCCGACGATTCAACACTCACAGCACTCAGTCTTTTCCTCCACTGCTCTTCAGACTCCGCATGTTTTCGCCGCATTTCTTCGAGCTCTTCCTCCAGTTGCCTCCTCCTTGTTTCCTGTTCTTTAATTTTTCCTTGAAGCATTTCTTGGTTTTGTTCTAGAGCCTACGAAAGCATAAATACGGTGTGTAAGTAAAAAAAAGCAGCTTAAAGCCAGTTAGCAGCATGAACCGACAAGGAAAATTATTACCTCCCTCCCTCCCTGTGATAGGGAAACTCAGCCATTAAAGTTATCACTGCAAAATTTTAAACTTTATTTGTGTAACATGTTCATATTTACGTGAAACTTCAATCGACGATTCAAACCTTCCTCTCTTGTGTAAAGCTGTTACTCTGTTCTTCAAGTCTTCGCTGCTGTAATTGATGCAGTCTCTCCAACTCGCTCTCTTGACGCCGTTGTTCATTCAAGAGATTGACAATCTGCTGTTCTTGTTGTTTGATCTCAGCCAGATCTTCACCGGCTGGACTGAGAAGGCTGACGCTGGATTGGAGCTGTCTTTGCTGTTCCTCTGACCGTAAAAATCATGCGGGGAAAAATTGTGATTATGTTAATTATTATTTCAAGGAAACATTGACGAAGATCAAATTTGATTGAATCACATACATTAAATTGCAGCTGTCATTTATCAGGAAAAAAAAACCATCCTTTCGAGGAAAAAGACAACATGCACATGCATAAACTATTTTTTCATCTCTTTTATATAAATTTTTCTAAGATAATCAGAGGGAAGAGCTGTACCTCTGCACTGAATTAACAGTCACATTCATCATATTAACAGCTTACAAGAGCGTTGAGAGTGATCTATATAGAGTGGTTGCAAATTTTTCTCAGTTTAAAATTATTTCCAATTAGTTTAATGAAATTTTTTGTCAATATCTTAATCTAAAGCAGAGGAAAACAAAAATTACACCAGTGTGAAGGATTGTGAAGCAAGAACAAATCTGAGCTAAAACATATTCATTTACATGTTTATGTAAAGCTGATTACAGAATGATGAAACTAAAAGAGAATCAAACATAGTATTTCACACCTAACTGCCCAATCTGTTCACACAACTTCTTCTGTTGCTCAAGAGCTCGAGCTTGCTGATTCTGAGAATGCTGCAACTGTTCCTTCTGCTTTTGAAGAAATTCTTGTTGCTGCCGCACAAGCTCTCGCTGGAGTTGCACGTCTGATTCACTTACAGCTGGTCCACGTGGTGACAGATCAGCATTCTGTCAAAATGATCCTTCATTCAGTATGATTGCCTGCTTATGATAACAAACTGGAAGCTATTTTAGAGTTTTTAAAATTCACAGTACACATTAAAGATTACTCAGAGGTATATAACTTGTAGGGAGATGTGGTGGCCCCATGGTTAGTGTGCTCAACTCTGTATAAAGTGGTCTGGGTTGGAGCCCTGGCTGGGGACATTGTGTTGTGCTCTTAGGCAAGATACTTTACTCTTGCAGTGCCTCTCTTTACCCGGGTGTTTAAAAGGGTACAGGCAAATTTAAAGCTGGAGGGGGTAACCCTGTGCTGAACTAGCATCCATCCAGGGGGGAATAGAAATACTCCCAGTCACTTCATGCCACAGAAACTGGAGTTAAGAACTAGACTGATGGGCCACTTGGCTCATAAACAGACTCTACCTTTTTATACAACTTGTAGCAGATAAAAACATATAATGTAAGACATTCCCTATGCTATGAATGCCCACATAAGTTTAGCTAATGATACAGTCGCTGTTTTGGAACTACTACACAATTCATCATCAGGGTCAAGTGGCAACTTTGGCTAGGGTTGTCAAAATGTCATTCACCACTTCAGACAACAGTCCTTATCTGGACTACCTTCACCTGGATGATCAGACTACAAAATCAAATGCTGCCTCTGGGTTCAAACCATTTACTGCATATAAGGTAGTCATATTCCTCTTAACTACTGATAGGAAAACAATAAACACAGTTGGGTATTTCCAAACAAGAGAAACTATACTTACAGCTGGGTTCATGAATTTATAAATTTGAGTGTTCCAATGAAGTTGGAGAAAAAAAAAAGTATGGCACTTGTACATTGTATCCATGTCTTTTCAATGAATGATTTAATTTTTTTCAGGAATGAAGCTGTCCTGACAAGTCCACATCAACAAACATTAGAAAAAGGAGGAGGAGAGCACTTTTATAAAAAGCTTAACATACCTCATTAAACTCTAGTTGCATTTTCTCTAATGCCCTAAGCTGTTCCTGTAGTTTCCATTGTTGTCTTACAACCTCCTGCTGTTGTTGCTGTTGAATTTTCTGCTGTTCCAACTGTTCTTGATATAGACGTTGCTGTTGCTCAACGAGATTTTCCAACTTTTGCTGTCTCTCTAAGAATTATGTTTCATTTGCTTGCCTAGCTTCCTCGAGTCTCTGGATATGAACTGGATCAACAAATCCTTGGCTGTCGTTGCTACTCCCCCCAGACTGGTTAGGGCTTGGGTCTCTTCGACCTTTTACTGGTGAATGAGAGGATCTTTCAGCTTGTCTGTGCCTTTCTTGTTCATTGAGGAGATGAACAAATGAGGAAACTTTGCTAGTCTTACTCGCCTGGGCTTTAAAACTGGGATGTTTACCTTGTTGTGCTTCTTCATTTGGAGATTGCAGCTCTTCCTGAGGTTCATAACCATCCAGACCAGAAAATGTTTGACCAAAACTAAGGTTTGCTTCCTCAATTGTTGCTTCAGACACTGGAACATTATTTTCTGTCAGAGTATCATTGAACTGTTCTCGCTCAAATGTTGTTTTCTCATTGAAGTCTATAGTATTCTTGGGCACCACTGGTGTCATGTAACTTTCAGAGTCTTCAGAGAGATCGCTCAGAGCAAGTTTTTGAGACACTCCCTCAAACCCCAACCTCTCCACAACCTTCAGAGCTCTTCTCTGTTCATCTGTGAGCCTATTCTCAGGTGGCTCCCCAGGAATGGGAGGTAGGGGCTCTCCTGGACCATCCAATTGATCCAGCGCTGGCCTTTGTCCTCTCCTGCGGTGACGTTCAGGAGCCTTTGGGGATGTGTCTTCTAAGTAAGGTGGAATAGGAGGTGGAGGAGCTGCCCCATTCCCTTCTTCACCAGCATCTTCCGATACCTCCTGAATTGTATCAGGGGTTTGCCGTTTAGTGCTCCCTTTTTTCCTGTGAGACACTGGTGCATCAACAATATCCTGACCATCAAGACTTTCCTCTCTGCTACCTTTCCTACTGTATCTTCGTCCACCAAAATCAAGAGAACGTTTCACTCTCGATCCACTAGTCGTGCTCTCTTCATCATGACTGGTGACATCTGTGAGCTCATCACTACTATAACTGACCTCACTCAGTGACTCTTTCTATCAATTATAGAATAAGAATACAAGAAAAGCATTTCTTCAGACTCAACATCAATATGTATATACTTTAACCTTTAAAACCCTATGAGTGACCAGCATCTAATTTCTCCCTGCTGTATTACTGCTGAATCATTCATTAAGTTCATGAGAATATAGGAAATGATTATGTATGTACTTACAGCTGTAAGGGATTTGATTGTTTAAACAAATTCTCTTTGTCAGTACCAAAGGCAGGGCTTGACACTGACTTTT